GATTTGAAAGGATGAGAAATGAGAGATTAAGTTCTTGTGGTGTTAATGGACTAAATTAAGGCATTAATAGCCAATAGATATAAAACCAAATTCTGGTATAAAAAGACTTTTCAAACATAATCTAATTCGGGAAGTGTATTGAAAAGTCAATTGAATGAATGCATTGATATACTGTAGGATATTATGATTGCAACACTTTATGCAAATACAGTGTAATTTTGAAATTTATTTTCAATATTAATTGATGCAATCTTTGAATTTAAGTTAAAAAATTTCTTTACAAATTGTTAACTAATCTCTAACATGAATGTTAAGCCAATATTTTTAAACAAATGTCTATAGTTTTTAATTTATCAGAAAAAATATCGCATAATACAGAATACATACAGATTTAATACAATCATAAAAATCGATTCATTTATTCATAGATTTAACAAAAAACTATTCATTAGATTACAATTAGCGACAAATGACGCAAAGAGACCAACATTAGAGACATTAGACACAAAAATACACATAAAAATCAAAATATAAATCATTTCGGTTTCGCGACAAACGGCACATACAGATGAGAATATACGGAATATAGGGGACGGGGAGTCGGGATATAGAGGTGACGGGCACAGTGGTCAGAAGTGAATCAACCTTGCGTCATTGGGGTTCTGTTCAATGGGACAGTAGGGACACTTCAATTTGGTGCCATTGGACAGCTTGTTGAGGGCGTCCCTCGAGATGACGTGTCCGCACACCAAACGCATGGGCGGGTTATTCTCAGAGGACTGTTGTCTGAGTATAGGACACGCGAAGATCGAGTGGAAGTGACACTTGCGGCTCAGGTCGATCTCGATGGGCAACTCATCCCTGGTGTTCCACACGTTGGTCACCTGTCTCTGTTGCATCACTTGCTTGATGTTCAGGAGGGCCGGTAGGGCCACACAGCCGGCGTTGATGGTGACCGCGAGGGGCGACTCGACGCTCAGTCCTAACAGAGCGCACGCGTCTCTCGTGAATATATCACAGATTTCGCTCCACGAGAGGCTGTCCAAGAGGTAGGCGTACGGCGAGTTCTGGAGCCCCACCTTCAGGTACAGCAACGACCCCATCATCGCCTGTATCTCGCGCTCGTGTTTGTCGGCCAACGGCTGGAAGTACTGCCGCGCGTACTGTATGAGCGCCATCTGGTTCTCCACCCCTCCCTTCAACAGCTCAATGAACTGCAGTCTATGGAGTTTGAACTCCAGATTGGAGGCCGAGTTCTGGGCCCTCAGCTGATCCCTGTTGACGATCGCCCACTGGAGCGCCGGCTGCAGGTCCCTGGCCTTCAACGAGTCGAGTATTGTATTCAATTCGGTGAACGGCCTCTTCTTGTGGTCGGGTATGTCGAGCTTCGCCTCGCGGGTCAGCTGTTCGGCGATGTCCAGCATTCCCTGCCTCAGGAAGTGCTCCACAATCACCTGATTCAAGATAATCGTGTTCGCCGGCGACTCAAACACCGAGTCGTTGCTAACGGACGCGTAATCGCAGATGAAGTTCTTGTCGATGGCTTTCCCGATACGGCTCACCGACGAGTGGATGTCCCGGTGCTCCGACGAGAACTGCGAGATCGTGTTCCGGGTCTTCTTAATCACGTTGTCGTACAGCAGATCGCGTTGTATTTGTGTCAACTCGTTGGCCGGCGCTGTGGACACGCAGTCAAAGACAT